CAGAGAGCCGACTTTTTAGTCTATGACGTGGGGCAAGTGCTGGCTGTTCACAGCGGAGCACGGAAGGCAAGTCAGAGCTTGGAGTTGGGGAGGGGGGTCCTGAGAACTGAGGTTGGGCAGGACCAGAGCCCCCGTCTGCCCAGAAGCCCTCTGCTCTAGGAGGGGCAGAGGTGACTGACAGATTTCCAGGTGGAAGTTTATTCCAGCCAACGGATCTGCTGAGAGATCTGCCCTGATTAATGTTTGGCCTGTGAGAACCAAGGCAGAAGCACGGGAAAGGCATTTTCGGGGTGCTAATTCCCCAACACCCGGGAAATTTTGTCATATTAAAGTCAGCCTAGCCGTGAGCCTGGGCAGTGCTTGGCAGAATTCATTAAGATGGAATTCGATAGGGATGTTCTGGCATTTGTGGGATGGAAGCCCTGCCCGCCGCTGTGTCCCCGTCCCTGGCGGGGTGAGGTGTGCAGAAGGGAGTTTATACCACGTCCCCTCCGTGGGGTCCCAGCGGTCCCTCTGCGTAAACCTGATCCTTGCATGAAATCACCACAGCTCTCCTAAGGAGAGTGCTTGCAATTTGAAGTGAAAACATTCTCATTCTTCAGTCTGGTAAAACTGAAACGATCGTTTTCAGGGACAGATCCTAGGCTGTGCACAAAGCAAGCTTCATGGCTTTTTGTTGTTTTCAGTTTGGGGTGTGTTACTATAAGGGAATTATTTGGGGGAGCGTAAGAGGGATATAACTTGGGAGGGACTCTGACGGGATTTTAATGTCTGGCAAGCGTTCATTCCCATTTGGTTTTCCGTCTCATGTGGCGTTTCCAGTAGCCATGTCAAGGAGTGACTGGCCAACGGGACGTGCGGCTGCTGCCCTCCGACCTCAGCTGACCCCCTTCCTTCTCCCCTCTCCCTCGGGGTCGTGTCCTTCTCTGCTGTTCCACGTTCGGCCCTTCCCACCCGTTAGTCTCTGCTGCGATTTTAGAGCAGCAGGGCCAGCCAGGGGATTGGCTTCGCTCTGGCCAATACCACGGTCCCGCCGCGTGGACATGACTGCCCGGGCTGCTCGGGCGTTCTGTACGTGTGATCAGGGTGCCCGCCATCTGCCAGGCGCCGTGCCAGGTGCCAGAGGGACAACAGCAAACAAGACGGGCCCGGATGGGACTCTCGTCCCAAAGTGGGGATAGAGCCCCCTCCCCAGACAAAACAAACACAAAAGGGCCTTCAAACATTCATGGAATATGAGTTCATATATTCATAGAATATTTTAGGAAAAAAACTATGTTTGGATTTCAATTTTTTTTCTTTTGCCAGAGGGTGCATGCATTTGCCAGCGAGACATAAGACAGGGGGGAGGAAGAAGACACTCCCCGTGGGGCGTTGTTACACTGAAATTCATTCTCCATTTCTCCACTGGCTTGGGCTTTGGGGGCGCACACGTACCCGGCATTGTTTGCAAACCTCCAGGGCCAGGATTCAAACCACTCAGCTAGCCATGTGAGGTCCAACTTCCTGCCACTGGGGCAGCCTGGATTTAAAAACGATTTGCACCAGCGTACCCTCATCCCTGAATTCCGTCCCCCAGGAACTTTGGGAAGCCCCTCCTGTGTAAGGTGTGCAGGTGGGGACCAGGTTTGCATCCCATCCCTCTGAGGCTCTTGGCTGGGGCCTCTGTAACCCGACAGATTAAGAAGAGGAGAGTGTGCAGACGTCCTTGAGGGGCATTTTATGTGCGCAGGAGCCTTTAGGACGTGAAGACCCAAAAGAAACCCTTCAACCCGGTGTTTTATGCTAGGTCCGGTGAAACATGGGAGTCGTGGAAGAATGGGATGGCACGGGAAAGTGTACACATGTGTAGAAAGGGGCAGGGACAGGCTGCACGTCTGGATTTCCGTGTCTGGAGGTGAGGGCCCTGCTGCCCTCCAGGGCTGGGAGGCACCTCAGTCTGGGGTCCTTCACTGAGGGCTTGGGACCTGCGTTTCTCAAGTCCCTTCACCTTAAACTGTCCTTGGGGCCATATTTTGGGTGATGTGTCCTGAGCCCTGGCAGGTACATGGTGTAATGGCTGTCATTACTGAGGGAAAAATGACGTTAGGAGGGGTGGGCCATCTGTTTTGCATAACGTCCTGTGTCCCTCCCCGGTGCAGCCTCCGTGCGGAAAGCGCCTTGTCAGCCTCGTTCACTTCATGCTCGCCACAGCCCCTTAGGGAAGAGGGACCTCGGGCCCCAGAGTGCACGTGGCTTCCATGGCCTCCATGCAAGCCCAAGTCTAGGAATCCCAGAGTCGGTGCTTGGGCAGCAAGCCACGCCGGCAGGCAGCTCGGTGTCCTCGCCGGTGAGGCTCCGAGGCCGAGTGGGCTTCCGGCCAAGGGTGAGTGAGTGGACACTTCCTGCCTTCCTGTGGACAAGTTATTTCGGCAGAGAAGCTGAGCCAAGACCTGTGGCCAGCGGGCAGCCACAGCCCTGCTTCTGAGCAACCCTGGGGTACCACACGGCCAGGTGACGTGTCGCGGCAGCAGAAGGAAAGTGAGGCACAGAAACAGCTGGGGTGGCTCCACAGGGGCTGTGAGCCCACCTGGGACGTCTGGAGCATGACTGCCTTGGCGCTGCACGGAGCATGCTCCGTTACTGCCGGGTATCCGCGGACCACAGCAGGTTGCTGTTCGGACGGGAGGTCTGGGTATGAGTGTGAAGATTAATTTGTTTAACATTCCTAGGACTTTGCCGAGAAAATATAATTCAATGTTCATTCTTTTCTTTGGAAAGAAACTGACAGCTGCATTTTTTGGGAGGGCCAATTTGATAGAATAACTGGGACTTAAAGGTGGCATGGTGGTTAAGGTGTTGGACTCCCACATGACTGACTACAGTTCAAGTCTCGGACCTGATAGCTTGAAAATCACACTGGGCACATGTGTGTGCATGCCCAACATCCCAAAAGGAGGAGAAGGGGTTTGGGGTGTAATCGTCCCCCCGAGGGGTGATTTTTCACTTTCCCTCTCTCTCTCTCTAGCAAGCACATATGCCCTATGACAAAAAACTAAAAAAGAAAAAAAAAAAGTTTAGTCCTTTCTTTGGTGGTTTGTATACACAAAAAGGTTTTTTTTTTGTTTTGTTTTTCCTTTCTTTCGTCTGTTATGGAATCCAGAAGGGTCAGCAAACTGCTAGACAAGGGGACTTGGAAAGAGACCCTGGGGAAAAGGATGCAGGTGTGTTTCCATCCCAGGGAGCCCTCTTTGTCCTCTGAATGCATTGCACCTTCTCAGGGATGAGAGGGGGAGGCGCCTGGGTACCCCGTCACACCCGTTGCTTTTCAGAGCACACGCTTGTCTCCGCGGCTTGCTCCTGATGGCCCATCACTGTCCTCAGGTAGCACACAGTGTAAGGCTAAGAAACATTACGGCACTGGACCCACCTTGATGTACGTGTACTTTTTTGCTATTGGGCATGTGTGTGCTTGAGAGAGCGAGAAAGCACCCCCCAGCGAGGATGGCCGTGCCGTGGTCCCCTCTCCTCCACTCCTGTCAGGACTGGGCATGCACGCACGGGCGCCCAGCCTGTTCTTCAAACTGTTGAAACTTCTCAGATGGCTTAATCAGCTGTTCGGTAGGACTGTGAACCGGGCCCGGCTGCAGCTTCTGATTTCCGCGGTCGGGTGGGAGGGGCCGTTTTCCTGCCGTGATTGTGAGTGATGGCATAAGAGAGGTTGGAAAAATCATGTTTCGGCTGGAGAAGCAGTTTGGTGAGGAATGGCTTGAACTTGAAGTTAAACCAGACCTGGTTGTTGAGGGAACTGGCCCCTCTGCTGACGTGTCCCGTGTTGAAGGCAGAACATGGGATCAGCTCTGGTTATTGAAAGCTTTTGTTTGTTCTGAGGCTCTTTATTTCTGGGCCCCAGTTGCATGTGTTAGGGCTTAGAACTCAGGCCCCCCAAGACTGGAGCTTGACGTGCTGAGAGGCCTTAGAATAGGGTCAGTTCTCAGGACCAGCAGATGGCATTATGGTTACATCACTGAACTCCCACGTAGTCCACCATAGTTCGAGTCCCGGACCCAGAAGCTTAAACTCAATGCCAGGTATGTGTGCATGTATGCTCAAAATCCCAAGAGGAGAATAGAGAGATGGGATTGCGGTGTGACATCCCCACAGGGGGTGATTTCTTGCTTTCTGTCTGACTGCAGTGAAAGCACACGCCCTATAGCAAAAATCTCTCTTAAAAAAAATGTATTGCCCCCGTTACCCCCGTGTCTCCCTCCCGGAGTGCAGGGCAGGAGAATGCTCCTGATTCTCCATTGCTAGAGGAAGACAGTTGCCTTCCCCCGACCCTGAGGTCTCACTCACTAAATCCCTGTTGGGAGGAAGGTTGAGGAGTGGCAGCACACCTGGGCAGGTTTTGTCCTGAGTTCTCACCCGTCTCCCAGGCCCACCAGCTCCCGAAGAGAATCACCCACTCACCACTGTCTGAACTTTGGGTCCTTCACCCCGCCATTTCCCTCTGCCCTGTGAACAAGGTATTTGAGCCACAGCCGTCTGCCCCTTCGGGGCTGTTCTCCAGGGCTCCCGTGTATCCAGATGTACACTAAGTAAACTGGGGGGCCTTTTCTCTTATTCACCTGCCCACTGCCGGGGATTCTTCCAGAGCACCTCAGAGTGGGAGGAGGGCCCCCTCGCCCCTGCGCACAGTGGGTCCCCATCTCGTACGGTCACCAGGTTTGGGCCACATCAGCCTCCCCGTGTGCAGCAGGAGCTCTGTCAGGTGGGTAAGGAGAGAGGCAGGGAGAACACGGGGACGGGCTCAGGGCAGTGCTGCTTCGCGTTCCTGGCCTTCCTCGCTGCACAGCCACCGTATCGGTAGGTGACAGAGCAGCTGTGCCAGTGACCCGCATGGCGAAGCCCCGTGGTGTCTTCTGTTGGCCCCCCTGCAGTCACGTGCAGGGTCGGTGTCCGCACCACTCGCCCGCCCTCTCCCCGTCTGGCCTCTGCTCACGCGGTCTCTGTTCCCGTAGTGCCTTCTCCCAGTGCCTTGCTGGCGGACAGCCCCACGCCCTTCGGGAACGCAAAGGAGGTGATCGCCATCAGGGACTACTGCCCGACCAACTTCACCACGCTCAAGTTCTCCAAGGGCGACCACCTGTACGTCCTGGACACGTCGGGCGGCGAGTGGTGGTACGCGCACAACACCACGGAGATGGGCTACATCCCGTCCTCCCACGTGCAGCCCCTCAACTACCGCAACTCCACGCTGAGCGACAGCGGCATGATCGACCCTCTCCCCGACAGCCCGGACGAGGTGGCCAAGGAGCTGGAGCTGCTCGGGGGCTGGGCAGACGACGGGAAAGGCTTGGGGAAGACGCACAGCAACAACCCTTTTTGGAACGGGGTCCAGACAAACCCGTTTCTGAACGGGAGCTTGTCGGCAGCGCCCGGCGTGGACGAGCCGAGTGCCAGGAGGACTGTGGACTTGCTGCTCTTCGACGCTGGCACGGCCTCGTTTATGGAGTCCAGCTCGGCGACCGCGAACAGCACGGGCAACATCTTCGACGACCTTCCCACCACAAACGGGCTGCACGCGGAGCAGCCGGTCAGGCGGGACAACCCCTTCTTCAGAAGCAAGCGCTCCTACAGCCTCTCGGAGCTCTCCGTGCTCCAAGCCAAGTCCGACGCCCCCGCGGCATCCAACTTCTTCACGGGCCTGAAATCTCCTGCCCCGGAGCAGTTTCAGAGCCGGGAAGACTTTCGAACTGCCTGGTTGAACCACCGGAAGCTGGCCCGGTCTTGCCATGACTTGGACTTGCTAGGCCAGAACCCGGGTTGGGGCCAGACCCAGGCAGTGGAGACGAACATTGTATGCAAACTGGACAGCTCGGGGGGCGCCGTACAGCTCCCCGACACCAGCATCAGCATCCTCGTTCCCGAGGGCCATGTGGCCCCTGGGGAAACGCAGCAGATCTCCATGAAAGCCCTGCTGGACCCTCCGCTGGAGCTCAACAGCGACAAGGCCAGCTGCGTCAGCCCCCTGCTGGAGGTCAAGCTCAGCACCCTGGAGGTGAGAACCTTCCTCATCCTGGAGATGAAGGTTTCGGCCGAGGTGAAGAACGACGCGTTGAGCAAAAGCACAGTGGGCCTGCAGTGCCTGAGGAGTGACTCGAAGGAAGGGCCCTACGTCCCCATGCCTCTCACCTACAGCTACGGGGACACGGTGCAGGTGCAGCTGGACCACCTGGAGCCCTGCATGTACCTGGCCATCGTCGCCCATGGCCCCAGCATCCTCTACCCTTCCACCGTCTGGGACTTCATCCACAAGAAGGTCACGGTGGGGCTTTATGGCCCCCAGCACATCC